CTGCCAAGGCCAGGGGCAGACTGAGCCCGTATCCCGGCAGGCAGGGCAGACTGAGCCCTCGTCTTGGCAGTCAGGCAGAGCTCAGGTCCTGGCGGGCACACAAGCTTAAGAAGCTGATTTTTTCCCGGGCCCACCTCTCCTGGGGGACCAGAGACAGAGGCTCCTGGGGTAGGAATGGAGGTCCCATCCTCACTGTGTCGTGGGCTGCCATGTGACCGGGGTAGGTCCCAGTCCTCTCTGAGCTATGAAGCGGGTGCTTGGGGCAGTGGCCTTCTGGGAGTGGTGGGGAAGGAGGAGGGGGTTGGGCAGGGCTCCCGTGGCCCCAGCCACACACATTGCCACCCCATCTGCCCCCTTATTGGGGTTCCATGCAAAATCGTTTTTGAAAAAGTGCTTTGCCGCTTAGAAGAACCCCCCGACCGCGCTGAAACCACGGGGGTAGATGGTATCGGGCGCTTCCTTTCAGCTCAAATTCTGCGAATCCACAGCCTAGAAAGTGCCCTGAATCCAACAGGGCGGGCGGGGGGTGGGTAATTAAGTTATTATGGTCTGTCCCCACCCCGTCCTGCTCACCAGGCCTGGCTGCTCCTACTGGCTTCTTGGAAGTTGGTGTGGTATTTTTTGTTTTGTTTGTTTGTGGGGCTGGTGTTGAGATGAGACCATTGTGGAGTCAGGGCTGTGGGCTTGGAGGTTCAGGGTCAGGGTCTAGGGGCGAAAGGTAGACGCTAGAGAAGGGCAAATGGACAGGGTCAGGTTCAGATCTTGGCTCTTGTATCCTTGCTGTGTGGCTCTGGGCCGAGAACTTGGCCTCTCTGAGCCTCTGTGGCTCATTACGGAAAATGGGATGCCAGCACTTGCCTTAGTGGGTTGTTTTGAGCCAAATGCAGGCTCAGGGAGGAGCTGGCATGATGTGTTCCTACCCTGAAGGGTGGAAAAAGGGGAAGGAGGCCACCACATCCCACAGGTAGGTCCCCAGGGTCCCTCCCCAGGATGGGCAGCAGCCTGGCTGCTCCCCATGGCAACCCCTGGCTGGCCCCACTGGTGCTGCTGGAAATCCCCCACCCAGTTCTTTGTGAATGGGAAAGGAAACTGAATGTGCTAGAAGAGGTCTCCGAGTGCTGGCCCGGCGGGGGGGCTTCCTCCCCCAGTGCAGGAGGGGCCACCTCAGCTTCCTTTCTGGGGCCCCATACCCCCTTTTTCCTATCTTCCTTCTGAGTTGAGGAGAAGGCTGTGGCCCCTGCCCACTGGCCTCTGGAACCACTGGGTGACAGTGTACATTGGGGCGATTAAGGGCCACTTGGCCTCTGGACCTCCCTCGCTGTGGCTGCTGCCTGGGACCCCCCACCCCATGCCTGACTCGTACCCCAACCTCAGCTCTACACGCAGAGGCACCACTGTAGGAGGAGATAGAAACCTCTCTCTAGGGAACCACCTGGAAGGGGGTCCTGCCCTGTCTTCATCTGAGTACCCCATGTAATCTAGGAAACTGTCTCTAACTTGCCGAGGACCTCCATGTCTGAGTTCTAATGTTTTTTATTTTGCTTTTTCAATTAATAAAGCTCATGGCAGAAACTATTTAAAGAAAAAAAAAAAAAAAAACGGTACCAGAAAAACCTCCCACAATCTCACTACCCATAGAGAACCAGCATTTCCATTTGGTAGATGTCATTATCGTCATTTTTGTTTTGTTTTTGAGACCGGGTCTCGCTCTGTCCCCCAGACTGGAGTGCAGTGGCGCCATTTTGGCTCACTGCATCCTCAACCTCCTGGGCTCAAGTGATCTTCCCACCTTAGCCTCCCAAGTAGCTGGGACTGTTTAATGCTGCTGTTAGCATAGACGTTAGCAGGACACCATGCCCTGCTAATTTTTAAGTTTTTTTGTAGAGACAGAGTCTTACTATGTTGCCTAGGCTGGTCTTAAACTCCTAGGCTCAAGCAGTCCTTCTGCCTAGGTCTCCCAAAGTTCTGGGATTACAGGCATGAGCCACCACCACACCCAGCCTCTTCTGTCTTTAACTTTGCCTCCACCCCCAAATTCCAATTCCTTCAGCAATTGCTGGGAAGGGATTACTTTTTGCACAATTCTGTCTGGAGCCCCTTGCAGGCAGGAGCTTGTGGACAAAAACTTCAGCCTTTGCAGGCCTGGCATTCCTCATACTATTTGGTCACCTGCTTTTTTCACTATGTGTCCTGAACATTTTTCTGTATTCTTTTTTTTTTTTCCCACCTCCCAGGTTCAAGCAATTCTTGTGCCTCAGCCTCCTGTGTAGCCAGGATTACAGGCATGTGCCACCACACCTGGCTAATTTTTGTATTTTTAGTAGAGGCGGGGTTTCACCATGTTGGCCAGGCTGGTCTCAAACTCCTGACCTCAGGTGACCTGCCTGCCTCAACTTCCCAAAGTGCTGGGATTACAGCCACTGTGCCCAGCCCATTTCTAACTTTTTTGCTGGTATAGATGACCCTGGGATGAACACCTTATGTCAGTCTTGGTGCCCATTTCTGTGATTTTCTTCTGCTCAGTTCCTAGAAGGGGAGTGCTGGGTCAAGGTTTTTATAAGCACTTCTGATCCATTCTTGCTCTCAAAGCTTTATTGAGATATAATTTACAAACCATAAAATTCGCTTGTGTAAAGCATGTAATTCATTGGTTTTTAGTATATTTATAGAGTTGTGCAACCCTCACCATAATCTAATTTTAGAACATTTTCATCATCAAAAAAGGAAACCTTGTACCCATGAACAGTCACTCCCCGTACCTCCCTCCCCAGCCCCTGGCAACCAGTCATCTCCTTTCTGTCTCCAGGGATTTGCCTATTCTGGACATTTCACATACATGGAATCATAGACTATGCAGCCTTTTGTGTCTGGCTTCCTTCACTTAGCATCATGTTTTCGAAGTTCACTGAGGTTATAGGTTATAGCATGTACTTTGTTCCTTTTTATGGCTGAAAAATACTCCATTGTATGGACTTGCCACATTTTGCTTATTTATCACCTGATAGACATCAGGTTATCTCCACTTTCTGGCTGTTATGAATAATGCTGCTATGAACATTTGCGGACAAGTTTTTGTATGGATCTGTGTTTTCATTTCTCTTGGGAGTGGAATTGCTGGGGCATATAGTAATTCTATGTTTAATTACATTGGGCTGGGCGGGGTGGCTCACACCGGTAATCCCAGCACTTTGGGAGGCTAAGGTAGGTGAATCACTTGATGTCAGGAGTTCGAGACCAGCCTGGCCAACATGGTGAAACCCTGTCTCTACTACAAATACAAAAATTAGCGGGGCGTGGTGGCGGATGCCTTTAATCCCAGTTACTCAGAGGCTGAGGCAGAATAATCACTTGAACCCAGGAGGCGGAGGCTGCAGTGAGCCAAGATTGTGCCATTGCACTCCAGCCTGGGCTGGAATGAGACTCTGACTCAAAAAAAAAAAAAAATATATATATATATATATGTGTGTGTGTGTGTGTGTGTGTGTGTGTGTGTATACACACAATAAATATGACTATATATAAAATATGACTGCCAACCTGTTTTCTGAAGCAGCTGCACCATTTTATATTCCCATCATCATTTCATGAGGACTCCAATTTCTCCACGTCCTTGCCAACATTTGTTGTTGTCTGTCTTCTTGATTATAGCCATCCTAGCCATCTTAAAGGGTGTGAAGTAATAGCTCAGTGTGGTGTTTTTTTGTTTGTTTTTTATTAAATGGGGTCTTGTTCTGTCACACAGGCTGGAGTGCAGCGGCACTATCTCAGCTCACTGCAGCCTCAAACTCTTGGGCTCAAGTGATCCTCCCTCCTCAGCCTCTTGAGTAGCTAGGATTATAGGCACACACCACCACACTCAGCTAATTTTTGTTTTTCACTACACTACGCTGATGTGGTTTTTTGTTTTGTTTTGCTTTTGTTTTTTGAAGAGCTGGGGTTTCACCATATTTCCCAGGCTGATCTCGAACACCTGGACTCACGCAATCCTCCCACCTCAGCCTCCCAAAATGCTGGGATTACAGGTGTGAGCTACCGGGTTTAGCCTCAGTGTGGTTTTGATTTGCATCTCCCCAATGGAAAATGGTTTTGAGTATCTTTTCATCTGCCTAATAGCCATTTCTTGTTCTTTTGATACATTATTTTTGAGTAGGCTTCCAGAAAGGTTATACCCATATATCTTCTCGTCACCAGTGGTGCCAGCACTGGGTATTATTTTAAAAACCTTTGCCACCTTCTGGATGAAAAGTGGTTATCTTATCCTAATTATGACCATTTCTCTTTGTTAAAAGTTGAGATATTCATATACCATAAAATTCACTTGTTTAAAGTGTACAATGCATTGGCTTTTAGTATATTTAAACAATTGTGCAATGATCACCACTATCTAATCCAGAACGTTTCTATCACCCTAGAAAAAATACTCGGAGCAGTCAGTCCCAAAATGCCCTGCCTGCAGCCCCTGGCAACCATTGATCTTTCTGTCCCCGTGGAGTTCGACTGTTTCTCTTCTGTTCCTTGGTCATACACATTTCTTGTGATTCATCAGACTATTTACTCAGCATGTTTGTCTCCTGCACTGCCTGCTTTTTTCTTGATTTGTGAACACTACGTGGCATGGATATTAGCTCTGTCCCGTGTTGCAAACATTTCCCTGGTTTCCAATTTGACTTCTCAATTTTGTTCCTGCATTTCTTGACCTATGGGGGTTTGCAAGTTCCAGGCAGTAAAATCCAGTGATCTTTTCCTTTATGGTTTTATTCTTTTTTTTTTTTTATTTTTTAAACCGTAAAAAGGCCTTTCCCCACCCAGGATCAGATAAATAATTACTTAGGTTTTATTCTAGTTCTGTCTTGGTTTCCTTTTTCACTTTTAATTATTTAATCCAGCTGGCTTTTGTTATGTGTGGCTGGTGTGATTTCCTGTTGTTTTGTGATGTCAGTGAGAAGCTGTGTGTCAAGGCCTGTTAACATGGTAAGCGCTCAGTAAATAGGAGCTAAAATGATAGTAATGAGAGTCTATACCAGGTAGAGCTCAGAAGGACATGGGATTCCTGGTGCTGTGCCGTGGCTGGAGGAGGACGTGGCCTGGCTGTGCCAGCTGGCTGGGAGCCCCTCCGCCCCAGAAGCCCTTGCTCTCACCTCTTCTTCTGAATCATCGTTCTTCGAAGGCAGGCAGTCGCTACCGTCGTCTGGGGCTTTGGGGATCTTGGTGGTGACGAGTCCCCTCTCCTCTGGTGCACTCCCCCCACCAGAGATGGGCGACAGAGGTTTTTTGTTGTTTCTTAACCACATCTTTTTCCACCCACACCCGGCACAGAGCATATGCTTGGCCGGGGCTTCCCCGAGCTGGTCCTGGCTTTGTGGCAGGGGGCTGGGCCATCAGTGCCCCATTCAAGCCTGGGGACCTGGCCCCACTGGTGTGTGCTACAACAGACCCAGCCCTGGGGCCTCATGATACTGTCAGTGATCATCACAGATGCGGGGCCTGGCTGCGGTCCTCACTGGTGGTTTTTGTTTGTTTTTGAGAGGGCGTCTTGAAGTAGCCCAGGCTGGAGCGCAGCAGCACAATCTCGGCTCACTGCAACTTCCGCCGCCCAGGTTCAGGTGATTCCCGTGCCTAGGCCTCCTGAGTAGCTGGGACTGCACATGCGCCACCACGCCCGGCTAATTTTTGAGTTTTTAGTAGAGACAGGGTTTCACCGTGTTGGCCAGGCTGGTCTCGAACTCCTGACCTCAAGTGATCTCCCCATCTTGACCTCCCAAAGTGCTCATTACAGGCGTGAACAACCCCCACCCACTGCAGGGAGCCGGGTTCGCCCCCTCCCTGCCAAGGAAGCTGCTTGCTCTCCCATCTGTCTGGAGGCCAGCACAGCCTGGCACTCGTAATTTGGGGCATCCATGGCCTTGTGGTGGCCAGGAGCAGAAGGCATCACCTGAAAAAGGTGTGGCCAAGGGCAGGGGTGCTGGGCTTAGCCAGACTGGCCACAGTGGGGGCAGGAAGGATTCCTACAGGGACAGCTGGGAGCAGGATGTGGTCGTGCAAGATGTGGGCTGATGGCAGCTGGCATGCAGCAGGGGAGGTGCACTGGGACCAGGCCTGGAGTGGGGTCTGGTGGCTCTGCTGTGTATGGAGCTGAGTGCTGCCCAGAGATGCCATCCTGTCCTCAGAAGTGGCTCAGGCCTGCTGGGGACAGGGCGGGTGGATGGAAGCCGCTGCATGCCCTGTGCCGTGTGCTGGCCCGCTGGCTGTCACTGTAGCGCAGCTCCCGGTGCCTGACAGTTATTTGTCCTTATTTAGCACTTGAAAGCCCAGCGGTTTGGCCAGAATGGTGCCCTGTGCGGAGGGTACAGCTTGAGTGAAGATGTGGAGGGAAAAGGCCCTGGGAGTGTGGCTCCCCTCCTTCCATCCTGCCTCCTGCAAGGCCCATCCCAGGACATTCCTCCCAAGTGGGCTGGATGGGGCCTGGACTTCCTGTTCATGTACTGGGATGAGCGATGGGGAAGGGGCCCACTGCGGGGCGGGGAGTGTAGGGCTTTCCAGGCATCATCCCTCATAAGCCACTGCTCCCAGGCCTTGTGCATAGCCCCACCATGGCAGACCCAAGAGCGGAAGTGTCCCGCCATCCTCACAGCAGGCTGCAGGGGCCATGTGTAACTGGCCCCTCCACCCTTGACCACCTGGTGGAGTCGGCACCCACATCTGAGGAGGGGACCATGTCGCTGCTGGGGACTCTGGGCTGGTCTGGAAGCAGGTGTGGTGGGGGCTGTCTTTCCCTGCATGAAGGTCTTCCTCTGGGTGTCTGTCGCTGTAGGGAGGCCACTCTAGCTTCTGAAAGGGGCTCTGTGTCCTTGCCATCATGATTCTGTGTTGGGGTGGGGGGTGGTGGTCGCTGTCTCTCTGAGAGGGGTCTTTGTGTCTGTGTCCCTGTGATTCTAGGCAGAAAGACCGTGATGGGAACTGAGGGGGAATTCACTCTGGGTGGGGTTTTAGACAGGTCAAGTCCTGTCTGTCCCAGCATCTCTGGCTAATCACTCCCCCCGTCCCCCTCCCGCCACACACACACACACACACACACACACACACACACACACACACACACACACACACACACACACGAAAAGCAGGCTGGTGTGTGTCCTGTTGCCCACACCACACTCACTCAGTGTGAGCTGGGGTGCCACCTGCCTGGAGGGGGGATCTGACTCTCAACAGGGCTTCTGTATTTGGGGGTGTCACACTCACTGTGTCTGTGTCTGCCTCCACCATCTGACTGGGAGAATTCCTCTCAGGGTTGGGGTGGGCCCAGCCCTAGGTTGGGCCCAGAGGAGATGCTTGGAGGATTTGCCGAGTGATGGATGGATGAGCACTTGGGTGGGGGCCTGGGACCCCCAAAGCCCTCAGATGTCTGGGAAGTAGGGGGAGGTTTCTGTTTCTGGTACCAGGGGCTCTTGCCAGGAAAGGGGGAAAGATGACTTGACCCATGTGGCTTTTCTGGAAGCTTCTCCCTTCTCTTTCCTCCTCCCCTGTGGGGAGAGGGGGCCTGAGGCAGCAGGGTGCAGACCAAGGGGGGATCTGGCCCATAATGAACAGGGAGGTGGGGGTCTACAAGCCGCTGCCCTGTGGACTGGGCCCACTGGATGCTGAGGGCAGCAAGCAGGCTCCACTTGCACACATCCAAGGACTGGGTTCCATTATCATCTCCATTTTACAGGTGAGGAAACTGAAACCCAGCGGGCCAAAGTGATTTGATTGGGGTCCAGCATTTGAAGGGTCTATGAAGGAGGGGCCGGGCTTGGGGTCCTGCTGGGGGCATAGCAGAGAAGCGCTCTGTGGCCTATAGTTCTCACACTGATTCAGTCGCTGGAACTGGCTCACTGCCTTCAGTTTGCCCCCCAAGGAGCTGGGGAAAAGGGGGCTGAGATCACCCGTCACACCTCATACCTCCCTCTGCTTCCCAGGCACTTGAGAGCTTGGGGGTCCCAGGTACCTACTCAAGTGCTCATCCATCCACCCACCTGGCAAACCCTCCAAGTACCTCCTCTGGGCCTGCCCCAGGGCTGGGCCTCAGCTGGGAGCAAGGTTTGGTGCCCACTCCAACCCTGAGACGGACTCTCGCAGTCAGATGGTGGAGGCAGCTGCGTCATCAGGAAACCATGGCCGGTCCGATAAGCTCAGTGCTGAGGAAGAGGCACAGGAATTGCACTAACCATGACTTAGTCGTCAGGGAAGGCTCCCTGGAGGAGGGGAGGTTTTCTCTGCTGGGACATGCAGTTTGGGTCAGATAGAGCATCACAAATGCAGGGGCTGGGCGGCAGGAGAAGGTGTGGGTGGGAAGGCGGCTGGAGGGAGACCAGGTGTTGGGGGTGTTGGGGCTGGAGGTGGGCAGATGAGGGTTGGAGCCCTGGCTCCACTTGGCTCTTCCCTGTGGCTGGGGTACTGCGTGATTTTGCCTCCCAGAGTCTGTAGTATGGGGGCTCCTGATGGTGCCCTTGCAGGGAGGTCAGGGGGCTGACACACCTGCACCTGCCTTTCAGCCTGCCTTCTTCCCCCGGCCAGCTGGAGGGGTCCTGGGAGGCCCACCCCTGCCCTGATAGCACTGGCTTGTAGCATCCCTATCACTCATGGTCTTCACTGGCTGGAGTGGGGGATGGCAGTAGGGGCCATCATCCCCTATGCCCCCCATTACCCAGCACAAAGGATGCTTGGCCAGCAAAAGGCCTATGATTAATGTTGAGCACCCACCACCTAGCAGGCACTGGCTTGTGGCCAAGGACACCATGTGAGCAAAGCCAAGTCACGGTAGAGACCTGCATCAAGGAATGTGCAAGACTAGCTCATAGGACAACAGGCAGGGAAGGAAGTTAAGGGGCTTCTGCGACTGGGGATTTAGATACTGTGGTCAGTGAGGGCCTCCCTGAGGAGAGGACACTTTGAGCAGCAGTCATATTTGTGAAGCTGTGGGGGGAGTTGCCTCTCTGAGGGCACAGCAGATGCACAGGCCCTGAGCACCCTTGGTACACTGAAGAAGAGTGGAGGCCAGTGTGGCTGGATCAGAGCGAGGGAGGGAGGCCCAAGAGGCTGAGGAGGTAACGGGGGTCTCTCAGATGGGGACCACAGGGGAGTTTGTTTTTTTCTTTTTTGAGACAGTCTTGCTCTGTTGCCCAGGCTGCAGTGTGGTGCGATCTTGGCTCACTGCAACCTCTGCCTCCCGGGTTCAAGTGATTCTCCTGCCTCAGCCTCCCAAGTAGCTGGGACTACAGGCACCTGCCACCATGCCCGACTAATTTTTGTATACATATTTTTTTCTTCGAGATGGAGTTTCGCATTTGTTGCCCAGGCTGGAGGGCAATGGCATGATCTCGGCTCACAGCAACCTCTGCCTCCTGGGTTCAAGCGATTCTCCTGCCTCAGCCTCCCAAGCAGCTGGGATTACAGGCATGTGCCACCACACCTGGCTAATTTTGTATTTTTAGTAGACACAGAGCTTCTCCATGTTGGTCAGGCTGGTGTATAACTCCTGACCTCAGGTGATCGGCCTGCCTCGGCCTTCCAAAGTACTGGGATTACAGGTGTGAGCCACAGCACCTGGCCTAATTTTTGTATTTTTTAATAGAGACAGCGTTTCACCATATTGGCCAGGCTGGTCTTGAACTCCTGACCTTGTGATCTGCCCGCCTCGGCCTCCCAAAGTGTTGGGATTACAAGCGTGAGCCATTGCGCCTGGCCAGGAGTTTTTTGAGATGGGATTTTGCTCTGTTGTCCAGGCTGGAGTGCAGTGGCACCATCATAGTTCACGGCAGCCTTGACCTCGCTGCTTCAGCCTCCTGTAGCCGCAGGGGAGTTTTGAGCAGAGGAGGGGAGGCTGGAACAGTGTGCTGCAGGTGGAAATAGCTAATTCTGGACAGACTTGGGCATAGTCTGATGGGACTGATGCGTTTTTGATGCTGTCCAACTCCCAGGGGGCCCAGGTGTCACACTGTTTTCTAGCCTGGTTCCTCTCTCCTCACTGGGAGTCCTTGTGAATACCCTTTTCCCCCAGTGGTTGTCTGGGACTGGAATCCTGGCTGCTCGGCTCCCAGCATCCACCACTTTCTGCCTTTGAGAGATGGGTCCTGCCTCCCCTCCTGCAAGTCTTCTGTGGCTCCCTGTCATCTGGGGGAAAATGGG